AATAAAATTAAGGATTATACAAACTTACATTGCAGAAATGTAAAGAAAGTTTTGGCACGTCTTTAATCTACTTGATCCAACTCTTTTAACGATTGAATCTATCCCACAAAGTCTTTCTATGATTCAAACACAAGGTTTAGGCTTGTGAGGGCATTTGGTAAGAAAATCCTAAATAAAAAAATTAAAAAAAAAATTTACCAAATAACATTGTAGATATAATATATTATTTAAATTATATTTAAAATATCATAAGATATTTTAATATATACTTAACTAATTTGAATCATATATAGTTATTTAACGGATTTCAAATACATAATTATTTTAATATTTAATGTATCAAATATAATAAATATATTTTTTCCTTTTATGTTTAATATATCTAATGTATTATATATCAATTTTAACACTTCATCTTTTCTTTCAATTAAATTACTCCTTTTACTATTATTATAAGCTAGCATGGACCTTATAGACCTATAAATTATAAACTAAAGTTGCACTCTTATGCATTTCCACGATAAGTTGTGTATATTGATATAATAATTACAAGTAAGTCGATCCTTCACGAGTTGTTTGTAATTATAACTAGGTAAAAATTTATTTTACCCTTGTAATTATGTCTTACAACTTAAATACCATTGTTTCTCTAACGAACAATGCCCTGACCCTATTTTTTAAGCTTGAGTCGCGACTATCTTTAAAATCATAAAAGATGGAGTAAAAAGAACCATAACATTTTTCGCATTTAAAACAAAACATAAATACATCTTATTTATAAATCCAAATTAAAGTCAGAATACATTGGACATATCTTGATAATAGAAAAAGTTGAAGTAGAAAGATCTTGTATTTACATTCAAGGCTCTAAATGAGCATAAATCATTAACTTCACCATGTCATCTTCTTTGGAGTTCTGGAAAGATCTTGTATCTTTGTGAAATGCAGTCAATCTCGTTGATTACTCTATGCCTTAACTCATCATCTTTTTCGATTTAGTTTCTAAACTTGATCCAAATTACTTGAAACCTTGAATATTTCTTCATATCTTTATCAATAAAAATTATTTAGAATCTTAAGCCATGGATATTTTAAATGTTGAAATTCTTTGAGGAACCTTAGGAGCATTATGCTCCGTTTACACTTATAAGTCTTTGCTTAGCCCCTACATCTCTTCTAATGACTTTGAAACTATACATAATAGTTAGTCATAGTGAAATAAGGCCTATTATAATTAATCCTTATGTCTTGAATTGAAGGTAACTATACGTACGATTAAGATTTTTTCATTTTTTCTTATTTTTAAGATTTTATTTTTATTTCCAAAATGAAAGGATATTAGGTTGTAGCATTTATTCTCGCCGGAAAATATGCATGATTTCTGACCAGATAATTATTACCTTCATGAAAAATGTTTTTTTTGACCGTTTTATATCTCTATGCCCAACCTTTCACATCCCTTGGAAATGATTTTCTCTCCAAACTCACCTTTTGTGTCCAAGTGTGTCTGAGTGAGCGAAAAACCAAGTGCTTTGGAAAGGAAATCGTGTGGGTTGGTTCACTGGTTATTTTGGGGGTTTCACAGAACGTTAGAGTGCTGTTCGAAGGAAGAACCAAGTGAAAATAAGGTATCGACGTAGGGATCGTTGTGCCGAAGAAAGTTGACCATCAGAAATCGATGTTGAGGACGTTATGGGACCGTTGACGCATTGTCGAAATAGGGGAGGCGAAATTATGATTTTTAGAATTGGGTTGGGTTCCTTCACATTCGGCCTTCGATTTCAACCCGAAGCGGAGACGTAGAGTCTAGCACTCCAACAAATTGCTTCATTTATAGCATTTTGTTATATTATTTTTAAAAAAGAGCTATTACAGCATCAATCCTTTTTACTTTTGATTTGCACACCACTAAGGGGACTCACACTCCTACTCCCACTCCTTTGTTTTCTTTTTGTTCTTAACCAAGGCCCTGGATCGTATCTATCTCAAATCACTATCATTCTTTTTCATTTCAGTTTCATCTTATCTGGTTGATTCACTATCTTTTCTTATTGTTATAGCCTTCTACAATAGATTTGTGGGTATTGGTCAGGAAGTGCAAAAGTACCGAAAGCACCAAAAGGCAATCATTATTGAAAGCCATGAGAAATTCAATAGGTTCCTTCCCTTTTCATGGCTACTAGTCTTTTGTTGCTGATATTAAAGTTTTGTTAGAAACTCATTTGGCCGAATCTTGCTCCAGGTTTCCTTCATTCATCACTTCATTTCTTTTAGAAATTTTCTTCTTTACGATCTCTATTAAGGTTTCGTTGGATGTTGCTCAACTAAATTTATCGTATAAAAAATAAACAATTATTAGCCAACCACTAAATCTATTTCTCATTTCTTAAACATGATACTTCTTTCTTTTTATTCTAGGGTTTAGGTTTCTCTGTATTTTGATGTTTGGCTCTCTCTCTCTGTAGGCCCTTCATTTTCTCAATTGATTTCAGCCTTCAGTTTTGGAGTTTTGGAAAATGATGCTTTTGATCAATTTAAGAGATTTAGTTAGATTCAAGGGTGTAATTCTCATAGAATTTTGTTGTTATTTGTTTTCTTTGTAGAATTTGTTTCACTTCTTTGACATCAACCTTTAGAGTTTACGCTTTGTTTCAACCTTTTGTGAGTTATACTTTAGTAGATCTTCCAATTTAGTAGGCATCGTTTCCTTCTGTTTGTTTCGATTTATCAATATATCGTCTTTACATATCGAAGTTCCAAAGTTATGCTTTTAGCAAATTTAAACACTTTCTTTCTCTTAATTGGTCAAATGTGTCATCTTTCTCGCTTTCATTCTCTTCTACTCAAAGTGAAGCTGTCATATTATAGAAGAATAAGAGGATGAACTCAAGTTATGGACTACTTCCTCCAATTAGGGGACCAAATTAAAGCTTTTATTACTCCTTACTAAACCATTTCATTTAAAAATACTTCATTTTTTAGTGATATCAATTATTTATTCACACCATACAGACTTATAAATGTATAAATTATTTGATTCCATTATTATTTAGCTATTAACCATGGTAAAGAAAAGATCAGTAAAAAAGTTTCTTTGTTGACTAGAGACTTTATGAGAATAAGATCAATATCAATGTATAAATGATGTTTGCACCATATCAATGAGGGTTGTTTACAATTTATTTGTTGTAAAGCTTTATCTAATGGTTGTTGAGTTGCACCGATTGTTAGTATGTTTTGATAGGTTGTTTAGCATTAAGGGTTGCAGGGAATGTAGTTTTCTAGATATTAATATGTCTTTTTAGTTTTAGGTATGTAAGTACAATTGTTTATCCCCTCTGTCATTTTTACAACAAATTTTGATGTAAGCATGTCTGATAAATACTTCAAAAAAAACTTTATTCTTTTTTCTTTTGCGTTCATTTATAACAAATTATTAATTAAAACAGGAGGGATATTGTTTTTCTATAAGCATAAATTACAGCACAATTTATATAAATACTTTATGAAATGTTATTTATTTTTATTAATATTATAAATGAGGTTGGTTGCCAAAGATCTAATTTAGCTATAAGCAGCTTTTACTTAGAGCAACATATTTAGTGTAATGGTAAGTGTAAGTGCACTATTTCTCATTGAAGTTGTTGTGATATTGTGCTGAGTTGCATGGTCGAACTTGTTTTCATTGGTTATCTTGTTGTGTTATTATTCCTCAATATTGGAAGGTAGCAATAACACGAGGGATGTGAAGACTCCACATCAGGTATCATGTTGACATACATTCTTTTGATTTTTGCTTGTATTATTTTTTCTTCCACATGATCTCATATTAGTTTGATAAGAACACAAATATGTGGAAGAATTCTTTTTCAGTTTTGTTGGAACCATAAATAATAAGCTTGCAAAGTTTTTTTTTTTTTTTTTTTTTTTTTTTTTTTTTTTTTTTTTTTTTTTTTTTTTTTTTTTTNTCTTTTAAAATGTGATTAACTATTCTCAATATTTAGCTCCGGCCACTTCTCAGGCCACTTCTCATAATTTAGCTTTTTCTTTCTTCAATGATTGTGTATCATCTTGTTAAATATCACAGCAAAGTAGTCAACAAAAGAATTATAAAGGATGAGAATACCACATGAGCGCTCATGACCTACACATATGGAGGTACAAATGCTACACTCTCTTTATTTATAGGAAATGGAAGGTGATGGAAGATCTACAATAAAAAGGCATAAAATGATAGCGGCCCAAGACAATCGAACATCAATGGAGAATACTTTATTTTGTATTGTTTGAATAATTTTTTTATTCTATGAAATTATCGAATACTAATTTTGTAAGGTAAAAAGATGATGAAGTTTCAATTGTGAATAGAAATTAGGGTATTTAATGTGAAATGAAGTAATTTCAGTGTTGGATTTAGCTAAAAATGAATACTTGAATAAATATTTTATCAAAATATAAATATTGAAATGATATTTAAATAATAAAATGATAAAATAATATTTTATAGCATAAGATTAAAGTTATGAATACTATATTATAGCGTTAAAAAATTGTTATGATAAATTAAAAGAAAGCGTAATATTTTAGCTAAATTAAACATATTATAGCTTTAATAGAATGCTATCAAATGTTTTTATAACGATGTATATAAGTTATAGTTTTATACTCTATTATAGCTATAAAATTACATTATAAAAAGTCTTAGACTTTTAATAACATAGGTTATCACGACGTACGAAAAATGCTATAAAAAGTCTTTTATAGCATTTTTCGTATGCTATCGTATCCATTATTTCTTGTAGTAATTGTACAGTACCCTAGTGGATTAGGGCAAGAAAAATCTGGTATAGTACCTAGACTCGTGCTCTTGAATTTCAGTCTGGTCTTGGACGGTGGTGTAAACACCATTCTTTCTTGTAACAACCTATACTAGCATAATTTTTCGCTAACCAATCCATTCCAAAAATTACATCATACATAGATATATCAAGTACTTAATTTTACTCAGCAGCAATCATATCCACCCCTGCCAAGGTGCCTACTGAGAATCCATGTAATAAAGGTTCTAACACAAACTTTGCTTGACTAACAAAAATAGTAGAAATAAAAGAATGCGTAGATCCCGAGTCAAACAATGTCAAATCAAGGTGACCAAGAACATTTAGTGTACCTGTCATCGCTGCATCAGGGTTTCCAGTATCCTGACTAGTAGAGGCATAAGCTCTCGCTGGAGGACGGTTCTGAGTGGGGTTATTTGCGATGCGTAATAGCCTCTGCTGAATTTTGGTATCATTAGTATGACCTCTAGGACAGTCCTTAGCCAAATGCTCTTCCTTTCCACATCGAAAACAAGCTTCAAAGCGAGCCAAACACGGGCCCCAATGATTCTTACCGCACTCCTTGCACTTGAGCCTATTTTCTGATCTGTTCTCACTGCCCTGCTTTCCACGCTTAAAATCATGGCGCTGTTTGTCGGATCGATTCTTTGTATGTGAAAAAGACAATTCATTTCCGTTAGTCTGGCTGTGGTGTCGCTTCTGCCCCACTGGTGATGAAGGAGGTTCACGCGAACTATCAAGTCCTTCCATAGCCTTAGTTGCTCTCAGGGCGGCAGTGTAAGTGGTAGGCACAATCACCTCAACAGTGTTGCGAATCTTCATATCTAACCCAGTACAAATCGTTGAGCTGTTCTGTAGTCCGTTTTCACCAATTCTGGGGCAAAACGCTTTAGTTTAGAAAATTCCCTGGCGTAGGTAGTGACAGTATGTCCCCTCTGACTCAATTTACTAAACTCCTGTTGTTTTCGCAGCTGGACATCCTCTAGATAATATTCTTCAGTGAAGACATCCTTGAACGTCGCCCATGAGACTGCACTACCCTCAGGGCTAATAAAGGTCGCGAGTTGTCTGCCACCAAAACTCCGCACCATCATGCAGCATAAACGTAGAACACTCCACCCTATAGGCCTCAGGGCAGTTGGTCAGTCCAAATACTATCTCAATGAATCTCAACGACATCTATGCCACCGTTGGACCGTCATATGCCCCCTTAAAATTTTGAGGGTTACCCCTCTTGAAATCTCGCCGATACTTAGCCTCTATGGTTGATGTAGAAGCATTTTCTTACTGGTTGGCAGTAAGATTTTGCATCACAGTTTACAATGCATCTACTAGAACAGTTGTAGGGTCTGGTGTGGCTTGAGGTGTTGCTAATGGTGAAAGAGACTACTCTATAGAATCCTCTCGTTCCAAATTACGTCCCCTTCCTCTTCCTCTACTCCTAAGCAACGGTCATCCCCTAAGATCTCCAACTCGAGTTTTAGGTGGCATCTAAACAGTGCACATAACCACTAAGTCACATACTTATCTAATAGATTCTATAAACATTTGTAGTTAGACAAGTCACTCATACATACAACTATAGCATTAACATAACCATCCGATAGTACATGACATATCATAAATCATGCCAACATATAACACATGTACATCATATCATTCATTACAAAATACATATTCACTACTACATGCATCATCTAACTAAGAATTTTAAATTCTTAAAAAGGCATACCTGATGGTGACGGTGCGCTTGATAGAGGACCATGAAAGTACGTTAGGCCTACATCATAAGCCAGTCTACAAGACCTATATCCTAGGGTTCTGATACCAACTATAATGCCCATAATTTTCTTAACCTAATCAGTGACGTCATCCATACATGCATAAATCTTTAAGAGGCAAATTCAACATATATAATCTTGGAAACAGCACAAGTCTTACATAAAGGTTCAAAATTTGAACTAAAGATTACTCTGAAACGGAAACATTCAATAACTGAATCAGAAAATTTAAATAAAATAAATGTTTAACGATCTAACTTAAAAACCCAAATAAAAAATAAACTGCTAACTATGCCCTCTCCTTAAACTTCCATGGTAACCTCATCTCCACCGTTAGCCATACATTGTCGCCTTGCCTTACTTGAAAAATGTAGGAAGCACGTGACTTGAGTATTTTATGAAATACTCCGTAAGTCACCCCACTGTTGGGGTTAGAAATGCTAATACATGTAACATATGAGTGAGACCTAACATTTGTAAACTTTACATGGCCTTGGATACTTTTATTTTCTGGGTATGGTTGGATGTATGGTACTTCTCCGCACATGGATCCACCAGGTGGGCCCGTATATGTACCCCTGGGTCTAGCTTGGTCCGGCACAACGTATTACATGTTGCCAGACACCACAAAACAAAAAAGGCCCGCATGATATCATGGCAAACATAAATATCGAATTTCATTCTTTCGTGACATAAATGGGAAGTATCCCATGCAAATGACATACAAATATGCATAAGGTCCGATTGCTTACATTACATGGCATATTACGTAATATGAAAATACATTCTATTTCCATAAGCATTTCATAACATAACTCCATCACGATACGTGTATACATGACAACATTCATCACTTTCATGGCATATAATACTAGTATATCAACCATCACTTTTCATAACATCAACGGTCAACATAATCCATACATCACATAGTCAAATCACATAAAATGTAGTGCATGCAAGGGCCACAGGGCACGTACCATCATACAACACATAATAAGCTAACTACAACAATACAGTTACTTACCTCAATGGCCTTGGTCGAAGCCACTCACAACAAGTTGATTCCAACGGTTAATTATGTCCTATAAGAACCACATAACATATTCTCTTAACGTATTCTAGCTAAACTTCATGTTAGTTATTAAGCTAAACTTCCAACAAAATCATTGTTGACTATTAAGAGCCATACTGACTTTAGAATGCAAAAACTAGGGCAGAAACAGCTTCGAAAGGACCAAAAACCTTATAATCGATATTCTGTGGGTATACCGAGCCGACAAGCCGAGCTACCATTAAGCCAAGGAGGTCCGATGGAGTCGAGCCGACCTCGTCCACGTGCGAGCCGAGCCGTGAGTACGCGTCGGAAGCCGCCAGAGTTGTTAGGCGTGCGTCTACGGTATTGGGCCTCCACGAAATGCGGCCCCACTACAAGAAAAATGTGTTTTTATAGCATTGAATATTGCTTTTTTTTTTTTTTTTTTTTTNTTTTTTTTTTTTTTTTTTTTTTGAAAATATGCTATAAAATGGGAAGGAAATTTATAGAAAAGCTTTTTATAGAATTTGAGTTTGCATTTTTTTTAAATATGCTATAAAAAGTGAAGGAAATTTTTAGAAGAAGATAATTCCCCCTATTATTTATCTTTTTTATTTAAAAAATTTTATTCCATTGATTTTCCTCCCTCAGTTAAGTATGGAAATGATCATATTTAGTAATTTTACTTTGCTTTTTCTAAATTTTACTTTGCTTTTTGCAGAAAAATTATATGCCTCTGCTGCGTACTAAGAAAAAAATGTACTAAGCTTTCTTTATGCGTTATATCTAGATTGATATTCTAAGTTTCCTCCTCTAGCCAGTAACAAATTGTTCTAATGTTTAATATGGTTTAGGTGGGATGACAAACAAGTTTCCTCCTCTAGCCAGTAACAAATTGTTCTAATGTTTAATATGGTTTAGGTGGGATGACAAACAAATGTGATATATTAAGAGTCTGAATTTTTTTATGACTTCGTAAACCATTCTTTCCACTTCTATATACTGGGTAAGATGTGCATGTGGAACACATATTCATGTATCCGTAAACCATTCTTTCCACTTCTATATACTGGGTAAGATGTGCATGTGGAACACATATTCATGTATCCATCAAGAGAAAAATATCTTGTTAATATTTTTTAACCATGTGGATAGTAATGTTTTTAAAAATTGCATGACAGATGGGAATGATTGATGGTCGATGGTCCTTCTAAACCTGCGCTCGGTGTCACAACCATACTATAAAGAGAGTAGGTTGTGACCTTCACATTACGACAACAAAATCGGCGATCCTCAAGTGGTGCCCATTCGACCACGTGAGGGGTTAGACGAGTGCCATGATGCGACCAAGAAGAACGGTGCAACATCTAACACACACTAAGTGTTATTGAAGACAAGACGAGGCATAGGCAAGATGAGGGCCACGAGTAGACATGAGTATCAAAGATAGGCTTGTTGAAGGGCCACGAGCTTTAACCTCGAAAATCGTGTTCCACAGGAAAATTGGGCATGCAACTTTAAAGTCAAGTCTGTCCATATGAAATATAAATGCTTGCCAAATTTGGTGTCAATTAAATACCCGAAAATAATTGGAANGATTTGAAAGTTATGTTATGTATGAGAGTTTATGTATGCATATCATACGTGATGAAAGACTAGGGTTCTCTTGCATGATTTATTATGCCATGATGAAAATATGGGGACCTCATGCATAGTTGTATATTCACATGCATTGAAATAATTCCCTTTTATGATAAGTATGAATGCGTACACTATGAGACGTGAATGACCATCATGCTTACCATGATACAATGGCGGTCGCTATTCCTTCTAGGTGTCCGGCAACAACCCAAAGAATCTAGCCCGACAAGCATGCCCGGGGGGTGTGCGAGCCCACTTGGTGGGTCCATGCTCACACGTGTGGATGGTGAGTAGAGAAGTACTACACATCCAATTTGCCCGGACTGATCGCCTAAGAAAAGACGATTTTAAATGATAGGTCTCATCATTTTGTATGTGTTTGTAGCTCACTTACTCAATATTTCTTAAAATACTCAAGCTTTGTGCTATTCTTGTATTTTAGGTAAAGGCAAGACACCCTGTACAGATGACAGTGGTATCACATTGAAGACCATGAAATTTGTATTAGAATAGTCACATTTTATTTATTTCGAAACTCTTACGATACATGCCATGTTGAATTTCTTCAAATTAAGGGAGTGAAAGGTGAGCACTCCAAGTATTATAATAAATTTTAGGTTAATTTGTAGTATGTTTACCGTATTTTCTGAATTTACATGTCATTTGTTTAGAGTTTTGGGTGTTTTTTATTGGGATCTAAATTTTATTTTCGATACAATGAAAAGAGTGAACTTACTTTGGACGTTAACTTTTATAGTTTTTTATATTTAATTTTTTAAACGAACAAAAGGTGTGAATAGGTACAGATAATGGACATCTACATTGGTATGATATTTTTGACTTTCAATTTAACATTTCATGACTTTACTTTTGTTTTCCTAAAAGGCCGGAACCTATTGAGATAGTGCCCTTTACTTGTATACCCATGATCTTCCCTTAATTGTTTAACGTAGGACTCCAATAATCCTAAGTAATCTTCTTTCCATGCTATGCTGAATAGTTATGTGAGAAATGAAGACTCCATAAAATCTTATCCGAATTTTGTAACCTTTGCTTGTAGTATATTTGTTGTGCCTTTAGGTTATATGTGAAATCCTACCTCGGTTGAAGAGAAAAACGAAGCAATCTTTACAAGAGTGTGAAAACTTTTCCTTACCTGACGCGATTTTTATTATTTTTTTTATGGAAAGTCTGAAATGAAAATTCTAAAGAAAACCATATCTACTAATGGTGAAATATTTGAGTTGAGTACTGAAGTTCACGGACTTGTTTATTGTGGGTTGAAGTTGGATTCTTGAGGGACTAATACATTGTTGTTAATATAATCAAAATGTGTACAGAAATGGGTTGATGAGTGTGGCTAGCATTTGTTTGTTTGGTGAGTTGATATATAGTTCAAATGCAAGGATGTGGAAAGGTCCAATTGATATTGTAGCATGCACAACATTGATTTCGAGATGCACGCTTAATGGGATAAACACTTCCAGAGAGAATGAAGCCAATTTATGAGACTTTTGTGAGTATCTTTCTAGCAAAATCGACGCAGCAGTCGACTCCAGTTGTTCCAAGTCATCAATTCGTGTAAGTGGTTGTCTTCAACACGATGGCTTCTATTCAGCCAAACTTTGTCCTTTTAGCTAATTTTATCCGTTTTGGCCCCAAAAGTATTTTTGGTCGAATGAAGGCAAAAAATTTCAACATAAACTATTGTTCTCGTAATATTTGATCATAAATAATTATTTATGATTGTTATAAGTAATTAAGTTCTATTGGTCCCATGGTTAGATTTTAAGTTCAATTTTCTGAGTTGATGAGATAAAATAGGTGAAATCGAACTACATAAAGCTGAACCTAGAAATTTTCGTCAAAAGTAAGATTAAAAATCCAAGTTGAATATGTTTTGTGTTTTGTGATTGTTTGACATGTATTATGTTATGTTCATGCTATGTTATAATTTATATCATGAGACGATTATGTTATGTTATGGATCTTTTTGTGCATGAAACCTCTACATGTTATGCCAAGCATACTATGTAAGCATATTCACTCTAGGTTTATGAGACGTTAAGCTACATATGTGATTCAAAAAGTTATGTTTATGAAAAGAACAGAAGTATGACTTGCATCATACATATATGCCATGATTTAAAAAATTGGGAACCTCATCTATTTTGTATGTCATGTGGATCATGATACTTCTCTATTAGGGTTAGTACGAACATGTACACTAGATATTATGTACACTAGGATATTATATGTGCTCCTTTCTTTTTGTAGCTTTTTGACTGCGTGAGTGTACGTTAGCTGAAGGCCAAGTCTAGAGGGTATGTATACAAGCCTACCTTAGGGTCCATGTGCGCATGTATGGATCGTGTGTAGAGAAGTATTGCACATCTAATTTGGTAGAGACTGAAAAGTGAGAGAAAAACCATGATGTTGATGAAAAGATATGTCCCAATCATGATGGCATGTGATTGCATTTCATAACCTCAATATTGCTCACTATTTCTTAAAATATTCAAGACATGTGCTATTCTTATTTTTCACGTAAAGGTAAGGTATCTCTTTACGGATGATGACATCGTTGTGAAGGCTATAGAACCGAAGGTAGGATAGTTGCATTTATGTTTGCATTCTTGCCCTTAGGTTATATTAGAGCGGTTTTGTTATTTTGAACTTTTTTTTATTTTGTTTTCAAAATTTTCATTGATGGTCACTGTTATTTGAAATGCATTTTACGAACATGTAAGTTCATGACATCGTTTACGAAATGATTTAACTGAACTTGTCCGCAGCATATTAGACAGGTCATACATGCAGTGACGACCTTGTTTTTAATAAGAAATTAGGGTCATTACAGTTTGACGTGTATGATGTTATGCTATGTGATGACAAATTATGTTATATATCTTGTGATGACTTCCATATTGTGTGATGCATTATAACCTCTATACTTTATACTTTATGTCATGCACATTAACATGTACATTTCACATTTATAAAATATTGTTAAGTTATGTATACTATTCATGAAAATTATGTTTTTAAACAAATGGAGATATGACTTGTATCATACTTACATGCATGATTGAAAATTATGGAGACTTCATACATATTGTGTATCACGTGCATTTAAATACTTCTCCCTTACGATGAGTATGGATGCGTAAATTATGGTATTATGTCCACTATAATATTATGCACGCTCCTTTCCCTCTACAACTTTTCTGGCAGTGTGAGTGTACGCTAGTCGAAGGCAAGGTCTAGGGGTACATATACACACGTAGGCCGTGTATAGAGAAGTAATGCACATCAGTTCGGCCAGGACAATAAAGTGTGACTAAGGTCATGATGATAATAAAAGAATAGGTCCCAACATGATTCATAAGTTTACATTTCTTGACCACAATAGTGGAGTTACTTATTGAGTATTTTTAAATACTCAAGTCATGTGTTATTTCCTTTTCGGTAAATGTATGATATTCGTACACAGATGATGACATCGCTGAGTCAATAGAACTGAAGTTATGATAGTTGTGTTTATGTTTATATTGTAGCTGATAAAAGTTAGAAATATAAATGAAAACATGTATTTTAAACTATATGAACGGTATAATAAGAAAGAAAAACAAATAGTAATTTCAAGAACATGAGATGGACAGCTCATAAATTGCAGAACACTTCGGACCAAGTTGTTTAAACCAAAAAACGATAGAGACAGTTTATGTTTAGCACCATATTTGTGTTCCATCATATTTTCCCACATATTTTACACGTTTTCAAGACGCATTTCTAATTATCACGTTTGGAAATTAATAATCAAAACCGAATGAACCCTCAATTATTCCTTAACGACATCAAATATGCAGGGTTAAGTTAAATTAAATATCAACTAGCAACTATTTAAAACTTTTTAGTGGCGATAAGTGTCACTACGTGCAAAAACCTTTATTAACATATCGGGAAAAACTTATATGTTCAATTGAAAAATAAGAAATAATATAACATCAACTTCAAAACAAAAAAGATTAACCTAAGTTTCATTTAAAAAACAAAAGCTCCGGAAAAACATATGAAACTACTAAAGAAAAACAATGCATACTACTATCCTAACTTAGTTTTCATGGTCATTCCAGTATCATCGCCATCGTACATGAACGCTTTAACTTTACGGGAAATATAAAAGTAGCATGTAGCTTGAGTATTTTAAAAAATACGAAGTAAAAAACATCACGGTTGGGGTTAGGTAAAACAAACACATACATACATGATGGGGCCTATACTTTAAAAACAATATAGCATGGCCTTGAACTCTTTCCAATCCAGGTAGGGTTGGATGTGTGATATTTCACCCACACACAACCCACGAACACACACATGGACCGATAAGGCAGGCTCATATACGTACCTCCTCGACCTGACTCGTCGAGCTAAATGTACTAATGCATCGTCAGATGCTATGGGGGAAAGGTCTGTATAGATATCATGGCAAAATAAAAACCCTTAATCTTCCATGAGTCATTCCAAGAGTTGTAACTATATTTTATGATCATAATTAGTCTTTATGTATACATTATGGTTATAATTAACTACCATGTAAATAAGCCTTAAAATACATTAAATAAACATCATAACTCACCATTATGATCCACCAAAATTATAACAATGAAACTTGATTCTTCTTCAATGTGACATGAATTGACACATCTTTTTGTTAGGATCGCACAACAACGCACACACCCGATCTAGATGAACACCAAAGAATAGGATAGAGAAAATGTAAGGAAAACTCTGGCTAAAGGATTTATATTGATGAATACAAGTATGTACGTAAGAGAGAATATAGAGAATATAGAAAGTACATTTTCAAAGCTGTGACTGAGGGGATATATATATGGTTTAGCTTGCTGTATAGCTTTACCAGATATAACCATCTACTATATATAACTATCTACCATATATAGCTTTACCGGATATAGCTTTTTAGTATACACAACTATTTAATATTTATAACAATTTACTTTATATGTCATTTACCAAATATAGTTTTACTATGTATAACCGTTGACTCAGATATAAATAAGCTAACAATTTTCACACTTGGAGACTAATTCGAGTCAACCAATAATTTCATTCTCAAACGATCATGAATATCTTTACTGCACCATACCAATTGAGGTTTTGCACAACCTCAATATTCCAACATCAACACATTTTGTCAACATGTTTGCTGGAATCTTTGCACCCTCTATCTTCTCAAAACACATCATTATCTTCCACTAACCTGCAAGTGAAATGGTATCGCCTTCTGTGTTCTATCTTTAAATGTTAGACCGGGTTCCTCGCCAACTGTACGACACTCTGACTATCTCTATAAAGAATTTATTCGTGCTGTTTCTCGCCCAATTCTTTCAGATAGTCAGTCATCTATATCATCTTCTTTCCAGCTTCAGCTATTGCCACGTACTCAGCCTCAGTACAATTCATTTTTGAAGCCTAGACGTCCCATCATCCATGGCTTGCTCCCACTTGGTTGTATCCTCCAACTGTTGGGCCTCCTCAAAGGGTTGTGGTTCCCTTTCATCAGCAACAGATAGTGTAATGAAGGTACATACATATCTGGTACTTTGATAGTACTAGATGATCTTCTCAACACCGATTCAGGTGCCACTTGCTCTACTGCTGATTCCTCCACAACAACCTTAGGAGTTTGTTGTGTATCTGCTACAAGATCACTAGGTGGTTTTCTCCACAACTCAACCTCAACTCCCACTTGCTTTGTTGTCTTGGAACCTTGCTCCACATCTGGTTCCTCAGCAGTAGTCTCAGGAGTTTCTTGAGTATCTGCTACAACATCACTAAGTGAGTTTCCCTACAACTCAAGCTCAACTCCCACTTGCTTCGTGGTCTTGGAACCTTGCTCCACATCTGGTTCCTCAGCAGTAGATTCAGGAGTTTCATGATTATCTGCTACAACATCACTAAGTGAGTTTCCCTGCAACTCAAGCTCAACTCCCACTTGCTTCGTGGTTTTGGAACCTTGCTCCACATCTGGTTCCTCAGCAGTAGACTCAGGAGTTTCATGAGTATCTACTACAACATCACTAGGTGAGTTTTCCTCCAACTCAAGCTCAACTCCCACTTGCTTCGTTGTCTTCGAACCTTGCTCCACATCTGGTTCCATTTCCAATCGCACTTTCTTCAATTCTCTATCAGTCCTTGTGAAGCTAACTCGTTTCGGCTTGCTCATAACGTAGTTCTCACAATGACCTAGATCAACAGACTTTAGATCTTTTAAAACTCCTTCCGCAGCCAGCGTCTTCATTCCTTTCACGCTCATATGTCCAAGTTATTGTGCCATAGACTTGAATTTGAAGCACTCTCAGCAATAGCAACTATGTTCATACACCCTGCAGTGGTGTATAAGATTCTAGATTTTGAGCCACGTGCTACCACCGTAGCACCCTTCATAATCTTCCACGAACTCTTCCCTAACTTTGCTGCATAACCTATGCTGTCTAACTGACCAATAGAGATCAGATTCTTCTTGAGACCAGGAATATATCTGACATCCTTTAATGTCCACTGATTTCCTGTCGGAGTTTTTATGCAGACATCTCCTTTTCCTTTAATCTCCAAATCTTTGTTGTCCGCAAGATACACCTTCTCGAAATTTTTAGACTTCAAATTTGAAACAACTCTTTATTTGGAGACGAATGAAAAGATGCACCTGAATCCAAAATCCAGTATTCAATCGAACTATCCACGCAAAGGATTAGAGCATCCCCAACGTCGTCTGCTAAATTTATAGAATCATCATCATCTCCGGATTTGTGATTCTGCTTCCTCTTTGGTCTTGTACAATCTGTCCGAAAGTGACCTTTTTCTCCACAATTCCAACACGTTATGTTTGGTCTATTTGAATATTTTTTTCGGTTCTCTGATTTTGATCGCCCTTTGTTTCGGCCCTTCAGTTTACTTCTTCCCCGTTGGTCAACACTGAGAGCACTACCAAATGAATTTTCAATTTCTCGTTTGCGAATACTTTCGCTGAGAACTACATCTCGAATTTCATCAAACTTTAGTTTCTCAGATCCTCGGGAACTGCTGATTGCGGCAACAACAGTATCCCACGACTTGGGTAAAGATGACATCAAAATCAATGCTTTAATTTCATCTTCGAAATTAATTTCCACCGAACTTAGTTGACTTACGATCATATTGAATTCATTTATATGATTCATAACAGATCGACCTTCAGACATCTATAGATTGAACAATCTCCGCATCAAATACACCTTGTTCATAGCCAATGGTTTTTTATACATATTCGACAGCGCGTTCATCAGATCTGATGTTGTCTTCTACTTGATGATGTTAAACGCCACATTCTGGATAGCGTCAACCGGATCAGCCCTAAGGCTTGTCGATCCTTGAGCTTCCACTGCTCTGTAGTCATGGTATCTGACATCACCCCCAACAAAGGTTCGTGAAGACCTTTCTGATACAGATAATCTTCAATCTGCATTTTCCAGAAACCGAAATCGGATCCCTCGAACTTCTCAATTCCAATCTTTGAACTTTTCATCTTCACAGATCGTGGTGACTTCCGCATCGCTCTGATACAAGTTGTTAGGATCGCGATACAACGCACACACCTGATCTAGATGAACACCAAAGAACAGGATAAAGAAAATGTAAGGAGAACTCTTGCTAAAGAATTATATTGATGACTACAAGTATGTACAGTAAGAGAGAATATAGAGAATATAGAAAGTACATTTTCAAAGCTGTGTCTGAGGGGATATATATATGGTTTAGCTTACTATGTATAGCTTTACTAGATATAACCATCTACTATATATAACTATCTACCATATATAGCTTTTTACTATACACAGCTATTTACTATTTATGACAATTTACTTCATATGTCATTTACCAAATATAGTTTTACTATGTATAACCGTTGACTCAACTATAAATAAGCAGCAGGCTCCATAACCTAACACTTTGGATAATTTTGACAATATTTTCTTTACATTTTCCTTGAAGTTTATATTGCATGATTGATGTCTTGGTTCATATCATTATCCCTTGTTTTGTAAACGTTGGTCGCCATTTTTGCACTTGAGCAAGATGGATCTCTTTGCCTTGGATTGGTACAATTGATCCATCGCTAAACATCACATTTCCAATGAGCTTCTCATCAAGCGTCTTGATCTTTGTTCGATCTTCGATCATGTGGTTGTTTGCTCCGTTGTCAAGGTACCACATGTTGGTCTCCACTCGTCTTCTCCTTTTGTGAGAAGTTTTGCCATAACCTTTTCTTCATTGAGCATCAACAAGTTGGGCATCTTCTCGGCCAACATCAGTGCGGGCTTCGATCTTGCATGAGTGTGAGATTTGCCTCCTCATCTCGCTTTTCTTGCGGCACTCTACCGTATAGTGCCCATATTTTCCACAAGAGTAACACTTGATCATTCTCTCGTCCTTCTAAGGGTTAACAATGTTCGGAATTTTTGAGGTATTGTCACAGCCACTCCTCATGTGTGATTAAGAGGTTTTTTTTCCTTCTCTTTGTCTTCATAGCCACAAAGTCTCTCCTCATGAATCTTAAGACGACCAACGACCTGATGGTGTTACTATAACACGTGCAGAAGCAATTTGGATATTAGGCACTCTAAGTACATCAATTATAGTAAATTAGCTAGCATGTTCAAAAGCATTGAAACTCAGTCAGTTTGAATACTAACCTTGTGTAGTTCAAATTCATTTTTCCTCACGAACCGATTTTGAACCACCACTAGTGTCTTCCTTACTATTCTCTGGCCTTAGAACGGGATTGTGGAATCCGGTGAGTGACTAAACTTGATAGGAATTTAGTATATATAAAGAGAGAATTTTGAGAGATTTTCTCAAAGTTTTTCGAGAAGAATTTCCATGTACCTTGATCACTCTATTTATTGATCATATTTGCATGTTCATGCAAATTTGTGATTACCAAATTTTGACACTCAAAATTTTAATCAAATTTGTGGGGTTTATTTGACAAACATGCATGTTTGGTAAACCAAATTTTGACACTCAAAATTCCACTCAAATTTGTGGGGTTACGTGGCAAACATGCAAATTTGTTAAACCATATATTGACACTCAATATTCCATGGGCTTAAACATGGATTTTTCCAAGTCAATATTTTGACTTTTTTTTATTTTAATTCAACAATTAATTTAAATAATTAATTTCAAATCAAAATAATATTAAATGATTAATTAAACAATTTAATTAATATTTAACATTAAATCAAATGCCAATCCCAATCAATTTGGGCACATATTGATTTTGAATCCCTATTCATAATTAAAATATTTAAATATCTCCAATTCTCTCTTTTTATTTAGTTCATAATTAAAACAAAATGTGGTTAAATATATCGTATATATTTAGCGTATATTCCCTAATTTGAGTTCGAACACTTCGAACTCACTCGTCAAGCTGTTCTAAGGTTTAGTCCGATATGATCTAGAAGGGGGACCTAATAGACCTACAGATCA